GAGTTGTTTTTGCCGCTGGATTTTGCAAATTTCAAGAATCCAAATGCACGCGGGATAACGTCGCGGCGAACGAAACGAGTCGAGAACGCGGAATTATCGCGATAATCCAAATTTGCATCGCGATAAACAGCGGGATTCGAGCGTGCGCGATTCCAAACTACCGCTTTTTCTCTCCCCGCGGAGGTTCGCAAAATTCTCTGACGTTTCTGACGTACGCAACGACGTGACAACGCGCGCGCGTCGAATGCAGTTCCGACGACGACGACGACGACGACGACGAAGACAGACCGCGCGGCGCGAAGACCAAACGGAACGAGGACGGAGCGTCTCTTCGGTATTCTCATCCTCGCGCCGCCGCGGGTGATACGTCACGCGGTCTGTCTCTGTCAAGGCGAAAGTCGATCGGAACCGAGAGAAGCTGTTACGCGTCGTCGTGTTAGGGACCGCGCGCGAAACGAAAGAAAAAAAAAAAAAAAAAAAGCGGCGACGTGTGACGCGCAACATTTAAACCCAATTCCGAATCTTTGTGTAATTTTTTTTACCGCCGCCTTTCGAAATTTTCGTCAAAAAATTTTAATCACACGTCAGACTGTTTTCCTGTTAAATAAAACGAAGACACATTCGAAAGAAGATGACGGAGTTTTTGCGAGAGATTTTGACGTTTTAAAATCAAATAAAAATAAAACGCGTCAGAGACGGTTCAAGGTGCCAAAAAAATAAAAAAATAAATAAATAAAAAAAACGGAATTAGATATTTCGAGTTTGACATTTGAATGTCGTTTCTTGAGCGATAATAAAACTCTGACGATTTTGGCAACACTGAACCGAGCGAATCAAATATTTCGTTTAAACGTGTAATTAACATAGCGCTCTCCCGGTTTGATATAAAAACAAATTAACCAAAAAAGACCAAATTGACTTCTAGTAAGTCGTTAGTTACACGATGAAAATGAGATCTCTCTCGCGCGAGAGATGTTTCAATCGCTCATTTGTGACCGTCGACCTTCGCACGTGCCGCAAATGCACAAAGTTTCAAAACCACATGTATGAAAATTTATAATCACACAAAAAATGAAATAAGTTTAGTAACAAAATGTCAACACTTAGCAATAATCGATCCTGAAGAAACTCATTCGACGACACAAAGGCTAAGGACGATCACAAAAAAAAATAAAAAATAAAAAAATAAAAAAATAAAAAAATAATCTATAAAGTTCAAATCTGAATTTATTTACCGCGAAATCTCCCGTCAATGTTTTAAAATAATTTTCATCAAAACGTGTGCTGGTATCTTTTTTCTTCATTTAGATTGTCACTGAAGATCCAAATTAAGGGTCGAAGCGCGCGAATTTTTTATCATAGACATTTTAATTAAAAACTTTATGCGCGTACATCACGTACATTGGCTCGTCCTAAATCCTTTTTTTTTTTTTTTTTTTTTTTTTAAACTCGTCACGAGAGCTCGATTAAATCTGAATATTGCTTGTTATCATCCGCGTTCAACCTCCAGGTTGACCTTTCAATTTGGTCTCTTTTCGGTTACTTCGTTCAGTCTTAATTTATTATTATTATTTTTTTTTGCACAATCGCATCGGAAGAATCGCGTCAGATCTGATTGTTTCGCAAAATTTTGTATATTGCTGTATTTCATTTCATTTCGCAGCCAACAAACCGCTCCGGTTTTGCTTCACAGTCGAATCACTCGGATATTTGCGAAATTAAAAATGCGCGTTGCAAAAAGATCTCGTACAATCCGGACAAATATGGAAGCGAAAAAACAAAACAAAAACAAACAAACAAAAACAAAAACAAAAACAAAAACATTATCGGACATATTTCTCACATGTGTATGCCGTATATATAAAATTGTAGGTTAAACGATCGCGCTACTCCCTCGTGTCTCCGCGTTGTAATCCGCGCGCGCGTCATAATCCGCAGTCCAAAGTTGACTATATATATAATACGCGCGTGGAGAGCGCGGCGCGTGGTTTGTCTCTCTCGGAGGAAAAAAAAAAAAACCTCATTCCTAACGAATCCGTACGAAATGTCAGAACTAATCGAATTAGTTCGAAACTTAATTCTCTCTCTCTGGTTCAAAGGCTCGCGCGGAGATACACACAGAAGCCGGGAGGATTTTTGATCACAGAGCGCATTCGCGTTGCGCTCCCCGTCGTTAACACTTTTTTTTGCACTTGATGTCGCAACGTATACGCGATCGGATTTTTAACAATGGCTCGCGGGCTTCTCCTTCGCGAACGAATTCAACTAATTAAAAGCGGCAGAGGATAAGAGAGAAAGAGAGAGCGTGCGTGTGTGTGTGTGTGTGTGTCGCCAAGTGGATTTTGGCACGGAAGGAAACTTCTCACACAGAAAAGCGAGAAAGAGAGAGAGAAGATACGCTTATTATTGGACCCCGTTTCGGAAACCCGAATACGATATACAGACAGACAGAAAGTCTACGCATTGTCGAGCGAGACGGATCTGCAAAAAAGCGCACGAAAAAGCGATACTCGCGAAAGAATTCTCCTCGCGTATCGACACACACACACACACACACACACACACGTCCATTCACAAGTTTCCCCTTTGCTCTTCTTCCATTCGCGCGAACTGTAACGACTTGAACTCTTTTTTTTTTTTTTTTCCCACAAAAGATCGCGTCGTCTCGCGGTTGTTCAATTTTTAAGTCAACCGCCTGTACATATGGGAGAAAAAACAAACAACCGTATATCTCTCCGCAAAACAATTATCTCGAAAATTTCGCAACAACGATAACCGCCGCGTGTGTTTTCACTACAAAGCGACTCGCCGCGCAAAACTTGACCTCTCTCTCGCTCTCTCTCTCTCTCTCTTTTGGAATCGGAAAACAACAACGTATTCTCTCAATTTCGTGTATAAAAAATGCGTGGGAAGACGTTACTTAGCGAGAGATGCGAAACATCCGTTTGAATCTCTCGGAGATAAACCCCCGATGAGACGTGCGTGATGAAAAGCGCGTTCTACAAAATTGATAAACATTTACTGATAATTCGTCGAGAGGATTCACCTCGTCTTTCTGTCGCTGCGAAACCCGCGAGGGAGAAAGAAAGAAACACAGAGACAGAGAGAGAAAGAGAGAGAATATCTCGAGGCTTCTCTCGGCGACGCTCTCGTCGGAGAGCGGGCCGCGTTCGCTCTAGATTTTCTCGGGATGCCCGTCATACTTTACTTTTGCTCGCTCACCGCTCATCTCCTCATATGTGCTGCGACAACCCGCCGCTTGCCTCCCTTTCTCTCTCTCTCTCTCTCTTTCAATTTCTCGACGCACGTGAGATATTTTTGTCCCGCCCGTGTTGGCGGCACACGCACTCCGGGCAGCACACATGTGTCTCATCATCATCATCGCACCTTCGCCCCGATATTGCTCTCCTCCCCCTTGGGTGTATGGTTTACGATGTTCGTGTAACTCGATTTTTACAAGTGTGTCACGTCATAACGGGGCGCGCTCGTAAACGGACCGGGTTCTCCGTTTCTCCGCGGAGAGACAGAAGCCGTCGAGATTCCGTCGTCGCGCCGAGCGTCTGTTGGCGACGCTCTCTCTCTCTCTCTTTCGAGAGAGGATTTTTTTTACGACGTCTCGCTGCGACGACGGGGAGAGAGTTTCCCGAGTGTTTCGCGCTTCCTCCTCGAAACACGCGTTTCTCCCTAGCGCGGTAAGCGTTGCACTTGCTCACTGTCACGTGTGTCGCGGCGGGTCATCATCGCGGCACGCGCGACTACCACCGTGCCAAGAGCGTACATCTCCCGAGACGATCGCCTTTCCTCTCTCTCTATCTATCTCTCTTTCTCTCTTTGTTCCTTGGCGAGCTTTTTCTCGCCGTCCCGTCGAGGAGGAAGCTGAACTATTTCAGAACGCGCGTGCACGTCACACACGCGTCGTGAGAGATTCGGCCGCGAGAAATTCGAAAGCGATTGCCAAGAGTTTCGCGCAAGGTCGCCACGTCGGGGATTTATAATCGCGGCTGTCCGGAAACGCGCGCGCGAAACCCGAACGCGCCGCGCTGCGGGCACGAGCTGTCAAGAGCGCGCGTTTTCACGTGTCTCTCTCTTTCTCTCTCTCTCTTTTTCTCTTTCTCTGTCTCTGTTTCCGACGGTTTTTCTCCGGCGCGCGCTCTCCGGAAAAAAGAGACTACGAAGGAGGAGAAAAATAATAACGGAGATCGTCCTTCGTGACAACAACACGCGCGGATGCTGAACCGATCGCGGAACCAAGTTGTCACTCGGCGAAACCTCGGGATTGAGTTTTTTTGCGAGAAACCAAGTGCGTGTCTCGCGACACGCTTTTCGCGTGGCGCGAGGTCGCGCGACTTTTCTCGCTCTCCCCGTGATCCCTCCGATCGATGTATTTCTCTCTCTCTCTCTCTCACTCGATACGTCTCTTTTTCTCTCTCTCTCTTTCTCTCTCTCGGTCGGTCCGTTCGTCAGTACGTCCGTACGTCCGTCCGTCTGGCCGCGGAGTCGTCAGACTCGTGACAGACGATCGACGGCGACGGAACGTCAATGGGCAGCGGTGACAATGGCAGCGGTGGTTAACAAACACGACAAGTGGCAACGTGGACAAACAATGTACGTAGACAAACGACGTGTAACGACGACGACGACGACGACGACGAAGACGAGGAAAAACTGTTGTTGCTCGCATCACCTTTCGGTATTGTCAAATACATACATTTCTTCTCTCCCTGTTTTTTTTCCCTCTCCCTTTCTTCCCGCTGGTCCGTCGTCTCATTCGGGTGGTGAAAGACATTCGATTCACGACGATCTCGCACGCGTCACAAAAACCGTCGTCGAGTCGCGGACAAACGGACTGTCCGCCCCCGCGATAAACGACGACGACGACGATGACGACGACGACGACGACGACGACGACGTACGAAATAACGACGATGAAATTAATTAATCGCGCACTGGGCCACGTTTCTCTCTCGTGAAATCGTCAAACACCGCGTCTAAATATTTACCTTGCTACATGTAAAACGAATAGAGGAGCCTGCCTGAATCGAACGAAGGAAGGCTCGAACCGGCCCACTGTGACGTCGCCGGCCTACTGTCAGCTCAGCGCTCGCTCGGCTCCGCGGTCAACTAACCTACCGTGTTCGCCGCGCAGACCGTGCCGACAAAATAAATCGATTCTGCGCGTCCGAGCGCCGTAAGCGCCGCGCGATAAATCCGCGCGCTCTCCAACGTGATTTTCGGCGTAACTCGCGCGTTTTACCGTGATCGCGTTCGCCTCGCGATGTCCGCACGGTCGCTCGCACGACTCGCGTAGTAGTCAGGTGTGAAACGCTCACGCGCTCACCGCCGCGTACACACGCACGCGCGCGCTCTCCCACACAAAGGTGCCGCGAGGCGCGCGTGCGCTCTCTCGCGCTGCCCCACACGCACACACACATACACAAACGCGGACACAGAGATACGCGCGCGGAGAACCTCTCGCGACGCACACGTAAGAGGATGCACGCGTACACGACACGCACGTCACACGTACGTGTGTGTGTGTGTGTGTG